CCCGCCCCCGCGCCCTGCGCGCCCGGATTGGCCCCCGCGGCTGCCGGACCCGCCCACTTCGGGGGGCTCTGAGGACCTTCCCCCCTCCCCAGGCTCCCGCAGCCTGCTGTCCGGCGGCCCCCACCCACTTCTTCAGAGAGAGAGAGAGAGACCCCCAGATTGGGGCGGCCCCGACGTGTCGAATCCTCTTGGAAACTCAGGCCCGGAGAGGATCCTTTGAAGTTCTGTTCCCCCCTTTTTCTTCTTCTTCTTTTTTTAATGGGGCCAGTGCCCCAGTCAGGGAAGGGATGGGGAGGGGGGGCGGGCCGGCGGGAGGCCCCGATTGGTGGGTGGGGGAATGGGGCCGCGCCTGGCTCCTCCGAAAAAAACCTCCTCCAGGTCCTGGCGGGCCAACCTGCAGCTCCCGCCCTCGGAGCACCGCGCTGGAGCAGGCCTGGGCCGCGGCCGCAGACCCGGGATAGGAGCAGGCAGAGGGCATCTTGGGGGGAGGGGGGCGTGGAGGTGGGGGGACAGGAAGCGGGGGCTAAAAAATAAAAACAACCCAGAAAGATGTCCAAACTGGTCTGGGAGGGCCAAGAATGCTGCCTGGAAGAGGAGATGTAAGTCTAGAAGCAAGGTGCTTTTAGTCTTCTCTGGGTGTCACAGTTTTTCCCCCTGGGACCCTCCAAGAGACTTTCTCTGTCCCTACCTCCTCCTTGTCTCCCATCTTTTTGGCAAAGAGCTTGGTGTCCCCTGACACTAGCGACTGAGTGGCACTGGGTGGTGTGGGGGAGAGAGGATGCTTGTGCGGCCTTCACCTGGGAGCTTTTTCTCCTCCAGGTCTTCACTCTCTGCTGCTGCCCTCCAGGATGGCCTTGAATAGCTTCTACAGGTGCCATGATATGGCCACAGCCCTGATCATGCTCTCTGGGCCCCTCAGGTTGCCTAATATTGGACACCATTGACTCCTTCAGGCCCCAAATTTAGCCACTGTTCTTTTGGTGGTGGTGGTGGTGGTGGTGGTGGTGGTGCTTGAACTCAGGACCTTGGAACTGTCCCTGAGTCCTTTTGCTCAAGGCTAAGGCCCTACCACTTGGAGCCACAGCGCCACTTCCGGTTTTCTGGTAGTTAATTGGAAATAAGAGGCTCATGGACTTTCCTGCCCTGGTTGGCTTTGAACCTCGATCCTCAGATCTTAGCCTCCTGAGTAGCTAGGATGACAGGCGTGAGCCACCCGTGGCCTGACTTCAGCCAGTATTCTTGTGAGCCAAGCTCTGGTAAGGGCCTCACTCTCAGGATACTCCTCGGTTGTAGGTTGGGATGGGAATCACTTGATCTCCAATACCCACCCACTGTCACTACTGGAGGTGGAAGTTTTTGCTCAGCCCCTTGCAGGGCCTCATGTGGACACAGAAGTGGAAGGCAGAGCAACAGAATGGGTCTCTGCCTAGACTCTCAGATCAGTAGACCAGAAGATTCCCCAGGACTTAGGCCCCCACAAAGTAGGATGGAATGAGGCAACTACTTCTTACCATTGTCGGCTCTAGTGATCGAGTATACAGCATGGCTCATAGACCCAACTTTTTTTTTTTTGTCAGCCATGGGGCTTGAACTCTGGGCCTGGACACTGTCCCTCAGCTCTTCACCTTAAAATGAGCACCAACCACTTGAGCCACAGCACCACTTCTGGTTTTCTGGTGGTTTTTTTGGAGATAAGAGTCTCACAGAGTTTCCTGCCTGGGCTAGCTTGGAACCAAGATCCTCAGATCTTAGCATCCTGAGTAGCTAGGATTACAGGAGTGAGCCACAATGCCTGGCTAGATCCAACATCTTTTTTTCCTTTGTTTTTTTGAGACAGAACAAAGTCTCATTTTGTAGCCCAGGCTGACCTTGAACTTTTTGTTTTGTTTTGTTTTGGTATTGTTACTGGGGCTTGAACTCTGACCCAGGCATTGTTCTTTAGCTTTTTTCACTCAAGGCTGGTGATTTTCCACTTGAGCCACACCTCCACTTTCAATGTGTGGTGGTTAATTGGAGAAAAGACTCTCACCCACTTTCCTGTCCAGGCCAGCTTCAAACCTCAATCCTTAGATCTTAGCATTATGAGTAGTTAGGATTACAGGCCTCAGCCACTGGGCCCTTCAGGTCTTCCTTCTTATGGCCCAACACCTTGGGCTCACTCTTGAGGTACCCTGGGGGGTGAGGAGTATAGATTTTTATCAGCTTTGGGCTCTACTGCTTCTCTAACTCATTTCCAAAACTCCCTCCAGCAAGCCCCAGGGCCCTTTAATGGCCTGGTTCCTAAGCAATAGCTGCATTGTTGAATTCTTCTGGTGGTAGGACCCCTCCTTATGGATAGGCTGACTGGTGACTTTTCACATCTTCCTTCAGTCCTAGTGGCCTTTGCAAGTTTGCTACACACCCCATCAGGCATCTGTGCTGCAGGGAGTAACCAGGCTGCTTATTGCATGCAGCATTCTTCATTCATTGTATTAAGTGCTCTGCATAAACCAAGACCTGTGCCTTGCTCAGGACTGGGAATTGAGACCTCCATGAAGGCAGGGTCTATATCTGGGAATTGTTATCTTAGTTCAGTCCTTGGCCATGATCAAGAGAAAGAAGAGAGGACAGGAGGGGATTGAGCAGGGTGAAAACTTCCACTTCTATGTCTATTGCCACCCTTCGTAGCCCTGTCCTTCAAGGGAGCCCCGAGTGGCTTGGGGCACAATGCCCAGGCCTTCTGTATATGTTGAGGTCTGTCCAAGGTCAGGACAAACCACAATGCCGTTTTCTTGATGGGCAGGCAGGACTGGCAGGCTCCAGTAAATCTGACACCCTTGGGAGATGCCCTTGGGCCTGGTGAGAGGAGAAAGGAAGCAGGCAAATCAATCCAGGAGATTGCCCATAGTTTGATGCACCCTTGGGTGGAAGTAGAGGGCCAGGCCCTCACTCCAGGTACCTGCCCGAGAGATAGAGAACTCAGAGGTTGGCCTACTCCACTCTGGCCCGGTGTGGTCTCAAGTCTCTGGGTGGAATGTGCTCTACTCAGGCTCAGCAACTTGGAATCAATTCATCACCCTTCTCAGGCTCAGCTTTCATCCCTCCTTCCCATCAAAGAATGCCCTTGGCATCCCAGGGCATCTCGATCCTGGATAGATTGTCACCTGCAGAGTCCCAGAGAATAGCCAGAGGAGATCATGGAAAAAGTCCCCATTCTAGGTCCTATCTGGCCCAAGCTCCAAGTGCCATGGTCTCTGGAAACCTAAGGATCCATTCTCCAGAGGCTTGTTTGTCCAGGTCAAAGGGAAAATCTGTGGATTTGAGAGGTCAACACTCTGTGGAAAGGCCCAGCTTGTATGGGAGAGATTGTTTGGGGCCACCTGCTGGGTTACAACTGGGCCTTGTATTGATTGATCTAGGGAGCTGATCTAGGCAGGCAAGATTTGGTGACTGCAGAGTGGAGGCTGAGGCAGTAGGCCACGCCCCATCGGGAGGTCTGGAGTGGGATAGCTCATGAGGACAGGACGCTATCCAGGAGGTAACAAAGCTGGCCTTGAAGCTGTGTTTGCTTCAGCAGAACACACAGGGGAGGGCGTGTCTATGACAAAGGGAGTTTCCCAGCTCCTGCATTGTGCCATGTAGTCGCTCAAACAAACACATAAAATGTTTCCAGCTGTGTGTCCAGCCTGGACCTGATCAACTTGACTTCGGAGAGTTGGGGGGATGGTGGGTACCATCTTTCTGGGGCCTGAGATAGATGAAAGCTGGGGAGGGAGTTCTTCTCCTGGTGGGGGAGGAGAGGTGGCACATGGGAACAAAGCTGATTTTTGCCAACTAAGGCCTAATTACTGGCCCCAAGCCAGATTCCAGGGCTGATACAAAAAGCAAGAACCAGTTCTCTTCAGGAGAAAGTTGGCGGGGTTGGGGGATGGGGGTGGCAGGGATCACCCTAAGCTCACCCGATTTCCAGCCAATCTACCTGGGGTTTAGATCCTGGGTGGGTAGCAGGGGCTTTGTCTCTTAAACCAGGAACTTGATGTTTTTCAGCCCCTCAGACCTGCGCTGTTTTTTTTTTTTTTATGCAGAAAACCAGTCTGCTCTGGGCTCCAACAAAGAGGCTGTCAGATAGGAGGGCAGGGACAGGTTCCTCAGCTGAGCCCAGAGAGGCCCTGGCCCTGAGGCCTGGGAGTAGATGGGTACTGGGAGGAGGGGTGTGTGTGTGTGTGTGTGTGTGTGTGTGTGTGGCCACAGATACGTGTGAGAAGTGGCTTAGCCTAGCCCAAGCAGGAAGGTGACAGAATAGTCTGTCCCTGGTGGCATTGAGGCCCATATTATGGGGTGTTGTGCAACCAGGGCCTTGGGAAGGCAACCTTCAAAGGCACCACACAGCCTTGCCCTTGTCTTAAGGGGCCCCCTCATCCTTTTACCCGCCCACTTTTTTATTCAGGCCAAAGGGGTCAGGCAGGCTGGTCAAGATTACTAGCTTCCCCCCTCTAGTGTTTCAATTCTACCTATAGCCCCCCAAATAGAGGCCCAACCCAGGAGGTCTTAGGTTTCCTGTTTCCCCAGGCAACTGGAGGCTTTTTTTTTTTAAACCACTCCAGTCACACACTGGCCCCTGCATGCTTCTAGAAGATGCTTCTTTTTGCAAAATAGCCCCTGGGATGAGCAATTGGGATGTGTGCTCATTTTATGCCCTGGATGTTTTTTTGTTTTGTTTTGGCCATGGCCTGGCCATCACCATGCCCAGAAGAAAGCAAGTGTTCACGGTCCTTTCCTTCCTGACCCAGGACAGAGACACTACCCTGATGTACAGGCAAGGATTTACCCAAAAAAATGCAGGATGTAGTCAGGAGCTGGTGGCTCATGACTGTCATCATAGCTACTCAGAAAGCTGAGATGCGAGGATTGAAGTTCAAAGCCAGCTGAGGCAGGAAAGTCCATGAGACTTTTTATCTCCAATTAACTACTAAAAAAAAGCTAGAAGGGCAGCTGTGGCTCAAGTGTTAGAGAGCTAGCTTTGAGCTAAAAGCTCAGTGATAGCACCTAGGCCCCGAGTGCAAGTTCTATTACTACTACTAATAATAATAAAAAGAAAAGCAGGAGCCAGGTGCTGGTGGCTCACACTTGCAATCCTAGCTACTCAGGAGGCTGAGATCTGAGGATCATGGCTCAAAGCCAGCCCAGGCAGGAAAGTCTGTGAGACTCTTATTTCTAATAAACCACCAGAAAACTCCAAGTTATTTAATCAACAGATATTTTTGAGAGGTCCCCCGGTGTGAGGTATTATTTCAGGCCTGAATTGTTGCACAATTATGTTGTCGCACACATCTAAAACAGTATTGACTCATTTTGGAAATACCTGCAAAGGGTTAAATTCCAGGCTCCTGGCTATTCTCCTCAGGGCCGAGCCCCTTGACCTCAGCTGCTGCTCAGGATTTCTCTCCCTGATTTAGGCTAGGCTGATGAGCCCTCTGAACCCCCTGAGGGCGCATGCGT